AATAAATAGGGATTGTTTGTGGAGGGGGTAATTAAAGCCCAGAGTGCAGGAGCAGTAAACAAACTTCTGTCCAATCCTGTTCTGGACTTCCTCGATAATCGGCTACCTCAGACCCCGGCAGCCTCACACGCTGCAGAGTAAATTGCGCGCAACACACACAGAGTGCTGTGTGACCCGTTTGAGTCACACCTCCCACCCATTTGATTCATCTTTTAATTAAGTGTGAGAGACACTGAAAAAAAGGGGTAGGCGAGAGATGGGGTACAGAGAGGGGGAGAGAGATTTGTAGTCTTCAACCAACATTGTGGCATCTTGCTCCTTTCTGCCAGCCACAAAACTTTGCAGTGAACACAACCCATCGTCACCACTTTACAAAAAGCTGGCTTTTCTCCCATCTAATCTTTGCACTGTGCTTCACTGGGAAGGTGCTTGTACCTGCAACTAACCCAGTCCCACAGTCAGGTGTCCAGGCTTTGCTTGGACGACATTCTTCAGCATCTGGACTCTAATATGTCCAGATTGCTGCAGAGATAAAAAAGTGACCAGTTYAGTATTAACACACCTGTGCCGATTATATGTTATGTCTGTCCTTCTAAAGTAACTTTTCTGTTTTACCCTCTCCCCACGAATAAGAGGAAACACTATTACATAACTTTTGTGTCCAGTCTTTGATGCTCGGTGTCTCRCAGCTGCGACTGAGGCGACTCACATTCTGAGCTCACGTGTGGACGCCGTGGCCCCCGCGAGTGTTTGTTTCTGTCAGCATTCTAATGAGCAGCCATTGTGGAATCCTGCAGAGGCTGCCTAAATGACTCTCCTGAAAAATTAATGCATCACTTAACAGCATTTTTGTGTTTGTACTGCATTCAGAAAACACAGGTGCAAATCCCGCTTGGTGGCAAAATGTTTAATTGATGCAGCCACGTGACAGTGCTCTGAGGGGGGGRAAAGGAAGAAGAAGTTGGGAAGTTTCAAGTATTTACCTGAGCAATCAGTGGCTTCTTATTAAGGTTCAAAAATAAAAAAAACAAAGGCAACCATGCAAGCTGCCATGTGTGAGCAGTTAAAAATAAGTATTTCAGTGCTACTGGAAAAAAAAGAAAATGAGGCAATTATCCAATATTAGATGCTGGTAAACTGTTTGCAAAAGCTATTACCAAACAAGATCAAATATTATGGTTGATACGCCGTGTTCCTGTTCTTGCCAGAGTGGCTGGATGATACAGTATGGGAGGGAAGTGAGTATTGCTGCCAGGCTGACTCTCCCCAGGTGAATCCCAGCAATGAGCTGRGAACAAGCTGCTTTGGCCAGACTGGCCAGCAGCCTTCCCACTCCCCTCTCCGAAAGCTGCCTGACTTTTCCACATGGGCCAGGGAGCAGGTGGCCCCGGGCTGCAGGAGGAGCCTGCAGCTCCGCAGTGGAAAATCTAACCCAGCGTACCTGTTCCATTTGTGCCAGGCTCAGTCTGAACAAAATAAACCATTTTCTTTGCAAACGTCCTGTTCTTTCTAAAAGAAAAAAAAAAAGGATTAAAAGTGTAAAAAAATAARTTAGTTTCTTTCAAGGGCGTCCAAAGACAAATGCTAAAATTGTGCCATCTTTTTTGCAAGAAGGGTTTAAATATTTTCTGTATGTATTTTCAGGACCCCCCAGCCCCCTCCAGGCCTTCGTCCTCCCCCAAATCTCCATTTCCCCTTGGCAACCAAAACCCTCCCACCACCCATGGGAAGAATAACAAATAATAATAATACATTAAAAAATGTGAACGGAGGCAGCATTCAGATGGCCRAATTAATGTTTGCACACGATAAGCGAGCTTAATATAATGCTGACAATCACAACACTCACCCTGCCAACCAGAATTGGATCGCGTCCAGAAAATTCCTCCAGCACAAACATTTGATTCCAAACCCATCCTCTCTTGGCGCGACTTAGTAATCTTTGTCCTTCGCCAAGACCACTCGCTGCCACCGCCGCCATGGGCCCACCGGTTTGTGTACTTCTGGACTGGCCCGTGATAGGAGTCATGGAGACGGAGGGAACGCAAGTAATCCACACCAGCAGCAAGGACATCCACAGATCCACCAGCATCTCCTCGGACCTCTTTGGCATCCTGTCGTTGTGTGTGTCCTGCTTGCTTGTTTTTGTTTTGCTTTGTTTGTTGGGTTTTATTAACCTCTGTTTTTTTTTTATTATTTCTTCTTTTTTTAATCTCCGCCTCTTGTACCACCCCGTCTCCTCCTCCTCCTCTTCAGATCAACAGCTCCTTCTTAGATAACAAGAAAAGGTTACTTGTGTCCTCTTTGAACGGCGGAGTCTGCATTCATGGTGTGATAAAGGTCACTTGCATGGCTTGGCATGCCTCCATAGCAGTTGGCGAAGGGGGGAGAAGGGGTGTGAGGCTCGTAGCACAGCATCCATTTGGCGTTACTCCGAGGGGGAGACCTGAAAGGAAGCAATCGCAGTTTGTTAGTTGTCTCTTCGACTTGTGTGAAGTTGTCAGGAGCTAGGAGGAGGTAGAGTCTGACAAACATTTGAACAAGTCAGGTGTGGCAGACAGAAGAAAAACAACCTACAGGAGATTCACATTTTAAAACAGGAAGTTAACATGTCATTCTTGTTATTTTTTATTTAATATTTTGTGCAAATCTTCTCCCTGTGCCTCCTCGACCCCCTTTATCCCAATCTTGTTTCCACATGATCCAGCCGAACAACAAATGCATTTCAAAGCTGTATCAGATTGCTTTGCTGTAATCTGATGTTATTTTATTTTATTTTTTTCTATTTTGGGTGTGGGGGAAGGATTATTCCAGTGAGATTTTTTTTAGGAAATCACATGTTACTTTTGAGATTTATGCCGTGACAATGCTTGTCATGTTGTCGCAGATGGTTCCCTCCTCGTGCAGATGTAGCTGCAGGTTCAGGCAGAGAGAGGATGGCTGCAGGTGAGTCAACAAGGCTGCGGCTCGCTGATATCAAAGTAACCCAGATGAGATCAGAAGGCAGAGAGGCATGTTTAGTCACTCAATCAGATACAGAAAATTACACTGGAACTGCTGCTCTCGATAACCACGCACATTAACTTTTGGGTTGTTTTCGATTATATTTTTTCTGTACAGTAAATATGTGATAAAACAAATAATTAGTGTGAAGTAACAGATAGTCAACAAGCAGCAGATTGATGCCCTTTTAGCTGCAACAGTTTGGATTTAAGTGGAACTGTTTGGGCTGCTCTGCTGGATTGGACAGCCTGCAGACACAAAGGCAGAGTTGTGATGCAGGTGGACACGATCTCGCTGCTCCCTGCTCCCTCACTTTCAGCACACATACACGCTCACTGCTGCAAACTTTTACCCCCCTTCCACCTTCACAGTGTTTCCTCCATACGCGGTTTAATGCTGCTGCATATTTCCAAGGRAGATATAAACCACAACGAATCTTGATCTGAAGCTCAACACGCAGGAAACCAAAAGATCTCGGTTCGCAAATTACACGTATTAAGACCCTAAAATGCGCTCTGATCGGTTTAAATGACTTTACGTAGCAGCCGTTTCAGCACCACGGGTGCGAGAACAGCTCTCCCGCCGGTCCACGCGGCTCAGACGGCGGAGGCGCTGTCCAAGGTACTGCGCGTGGAAAAAGAAAATATTTCGAATTTTTTTAGGAAACCAGCAGCCAAAAAACATTAAAATAAAAACTGGAACTTCGATTCTTTCATTTGTAAGGATCCCTACTTCCACCACATTCATCTAGTCTGAAGTTTCCTCTTATATTGGGCAGCCAGTGTTTCGTAGTCCGTTTATTTATTTATTTCTACTATTTCTTTTTGCGCATCTGCTGTGGAGCTGGAGCGCACGAGCAGTCCTGTATACCGACACTGAAGTAGACACCTCTGACAGTGAGGTGGAAGAAATAAAGGTAAGCCAAAGTTGCAGATCTTCCTGGAGACCTGTTTGGCGTCAGCCCGCTCCTGCAGCTGCCGTGCAGGGCAAAAAACACCTCACAGCTGCGGATGCAGCGGGTTGAAAAGTCTTGTCAAACACCCCTTCTATGTTTTATTGTCAGCAGCATTCCCCCTCTCTCTGATATGATTTTTTTTATTTAATAGCATGTACTTACTCGTGAGATCCGGATCCTATCCCGCTTCTGCATTGTTCAGTCGTTTTGTCGTTTCCCCCAAACGTTAAAAATACGCCAAAAACTCCTCCATGGAGGGGGTTCTCGTTCCGAAAGCAGAAAAAAAAGGTGCAACACTTCGGGTTTAAACAAGATCCGTCCAGCAGTTTTTATTTATTATTACTATTATTTTTGTTTTGTTTTGTTTTATCACTGCGGAGTGACAGACAGACAGACAGACAGACAGACAGACAGGCAGACAGTGGTTATGAGGCGCGCTGGAGCTCCGACAGGCTCGCTGGCCGACTGGAAAAGTGAGGAGGAGATGGAGGGGAGAGCTGCGCGCCGGAGAAGAGAGCCTCCCTCCGCTGCGCTCATTGGGCTGATGAGGAGTCGGGTCAACAGGCGCGCAAATGAGCGCGTGGCGCGAACACGCAGGAAGGTTATCGTCTCATCCCGTGCAGCTGGAGATAAGAAAAAAAAAGTGGCAAAATGTGGACAACCAGTGCTTTAAAAAAAGAATTCTCACATATGTGTTTCCCTGTGTGTGTTTCTTTTTTCAACATCCGAAATATATCCCCACCAACACCACCACTTAAGCTTGATTGTGAAATGCATTAGACCTATGGGGTTGGGG